GCCACCCTGTATCTAAAACCCTGTAAAAGTAATGGTGAGAGACAACATCCTTGTTTAAGCCCTTTATTAACTTGGCATCCCTTTGATAATTGGTTAATTTATAAATTATTATGTTTTTAGTAATAATAAAATTAAATGCAAATTATATAAAATTCAAGAGAAATAATCCTAAATCCAAATAAATTCTGACTATTTCTAGGTGAACATCAATCAAGTGCTTCAATTTCTAATTGTAAGCGTTCATTTTCATAATATTTATGAAGTATGACGGTCAAATTTATTTCGTTTAAAATTTACGTCAATAAGATTAATGTAAATCTATAACGATTTAGCTCTGTCGTCACTCTGGCAAGCATACCTTTCCATGATGTGCCGAAAATTATCTGACACGTAGTAGTTTCCAGCGAAAATACCGGCATAGAAAATGACGCCACAACGTAACACACCCAACATTTACGGCAGTACATTTACGGCAGTCCTTCATTCAAAAAAAGAATAATTAGATAAAGCAACAATAGACTTGTTCTAAAATCGACTCAAGATAATTTAATAGATACATATACATACTGCCATTACTCGCTGACGAGTATTCGACACGCATCAGAAGATGACCACAAAAAATCTAATTGCTTTGTTGCCTCTTTACTTTTTGGTTGTTGCTGTTCACTGAGTTCACAATTCTTCTCCATCGAGTTCTATTGTGAACTGCGTCTTCCCACTCATTCTGCATATTAATTCTCCTTTAATTTTTCGGGGAAAATGTCCTTGTGCCTTTTCAGTTGTCCACTCGGCTTCCGCTTACCGTCTGCAAGCTCACCGTAAAGCAGAGATTTTGGTATGCGGTTTTCTTGCATTCTGCATACGTGGCCAGCCCATCTTAAGCGGGATTTTGTAACCATGACTTCGCAGTTAGCTTTTTCAAGGACCGATACGTCTGAGACATGATAGAACCACCGGATTCTTAAGAATTGTCTAAGGTGTCTGTTGCAACTTTTGCTTTGTTTAATGCGTTTAGGTGTCGGCGCGGCGGTACGGCACCCAGGTTTCGCTCCCATATAACATGGTGGGGATTATAATTGCTTGGTACACTGCAAGTTTCGTTTTTGTACTCAAAATTATGATTGTAGAAAACTGTCTTTTAATTGCCAGAATGTTCCCGAGGCGCTGCTAATCCTGTGCTGAATTTCAGAGTCAATATTGGCCTTATCCGAAATCAAACTGCCGAGGTAATTGAATTCCGCCACATATTTCAATAGTTCTTCTCCGATTTTTATAGCATTGTTGTGATCTTCCGGGGGAGTGCACATGATTTTAGTTTTGTCGATGTTTAATAGCTTAAGGCCCAAAACCTCGTATGCCCAGGTATACCTAATGTGTTCAACATCTCTTGTAATTGTTGTAACGTGTTTGCAACTAGAGCGCAGTCATCAGCGTACTGATGTTCTGTGATGAATTTTGTACGTGTTTTTGCCCCGAGTCTTTTTATGTTGAATAGACCGCCGCGCCGTCGTATCTGTATCTAGGGGAAATATGGGGAATACCGACCACTTAAGGGAAATAATTAATATATGTCAAACTAGCTGGAATTTAAAACTTATTTTGTGCTAAATTTAACAAAATACAATTATAGAAGACTAAGAAAAGCCGAAAACATAGATATTAAACAAAATAAAATTTTTATTTAAAAAACATTACAAAACGAAAATGATCGGCATTGCCCTACCTATTCGGGTAATGTCGACCATACTTAAACCAAACAAAATCTTTAAAAAATATCTCTTATTGACAAAATATCAATGAAACAAAGATGTATGGTAACTTTAAACATATAACATAAAAGTTGTGTATGCGATTTATGGCTGACAAAAATGACAAATATACACTTGAGTGATCTCCACGCCTGCACATTCGGCATGTGATGATTTTCCACAAGGGCAGGTCACCCACCACTCATTGTCTTTGCCGAATTCCTCGCATACGATGCAAGGGTCCGTGGCCTCTTCCAAATGCCTCTTCTTGCTATTTGGCTTGTCCTTAATTTTCTCTGGTTCATCATCTCTCAGTAATTTTCGTTTGGTTCCTTTTTCATCCTTCCGTACATTTTCTTGATTTTAGTGAAACCAAATGTTAAAGCATATAAGCAAAATATAGACATCCGAAATATCATTCAAATCCGACTAAAAAATCTGAAAATATCTGAAAAAATGTGTTTATGATTTTAAAGTTTGATGCCTCCTAGCGGACAAACGAAGCACTTTTGTATTATACGTAGTAGTACGTACTTTTGCTTTACGGTGAGCTTGTAGACGGAAAGAGGAGGCCCTCTGGTGGACAACTCAAAAGATACAAGGACATTTTTCCTCACGAAAACTTAAAGGGGTTAACATACAGAATCATTGGGATGAAGTAGTTCACAATAGAACTCAATGGAGAAGAATTGTAAACTCAGTTAACAGCGACAACCAAAAAGTAAAGAGGCAACAAAGCAATGAGATTTTTTGAATGTCCGGAGTGCGGTAGGCAAATAACATCACGTATCGGGCTTTTCAGTCACAAAAAAGCTCATGAAAGAAAACGCCTTGCGTGACCACCTTTGATGCGTGTCGAATACAGCGAGTAATGGCAGTATTGTATGTATGTATGTATGTATGCAGTAACGTACTTTTTTGGAACGTACTGTCTACAGAATATTGGAACACCCTATAAAACAGCGATATACAATTATACAGTCTCTCTGTCTTATTAGTAAAATGATTTCTATGACTGGTCGATTTTAAATACTGGTCAATTCAATTGATAGTTTTGCATTTTCAGTGATAAGGTTGAAAAAGTTAAACGATTTAGTAGAAGAAATCGATGGTTTAACTAGATTTAAATACATCAAGATAATAGGTAGACGGCTTTGTATTGAAATAGATGTTTTAAACTGTTTTGATGATGGATTAAATCATTAAAAAATCGTACAAAAATAGAGTAGATGACTGCAAGAGAAGCGAAAAACAATTTTAAGTTAAACTTAAACACTAAAAAGCAAAAAATTGGTCCTGATATAAGAATCAAAGCATTCAATGTTATATGACCTAAGTCAATAAACAATCAAAGACACTTTTCTGAATATGGATGTGACACTTATATTGCCGATTCTAGACCTTCCAAAAATAAACATGGGGCGCATATTCTCCGCAGCACTTACTGAACAGAGGATAAGTAAACCTTAGAATAGATGAGGACAGAAACAAAAACACTAATTGGTCGTGAAACAAGGATCAAAACACTTCTGTATCCGAACTATAATATAATAATCCAGTCTTTCATTTCTTTGAATGATACTAAGACACTCTAGTGATGTTTAAACATTAGGCAGAGCATAAATAAACATCAAAATAGATTAGAATACAATAAAATTGAAATAAAATAAAACACTACAAAACACTAACTATAGTTCGCGGTATACTCTAAAATAAAAAGTGACGGTTGTATACTAAAATCTAAAAATCTGATTTTTGTGGACTTTGTAGATTAGTAGTAAAATGTTTCTATGCTTTTAATATCTTAATAAATCGATTACTTTTCGGGATCACTGTTTTAGAGTGGATTACACAACTATGTTTGTTTCCTGAAGTGGTGTCAAGATATTTCAAATTTTAGTTACAGCCATAGCACTTTCTAAGTAAGGAATTATTTAGGAAGTCAAACCATATCCAGGTAAACATTTATTTTCAATCTGGATATTAATTCAAATTGAATTATTACTGGTCAATTAAAATAGATGCTACAAGGACTATATAATTACTAGCGTATACCAGCGACTTCGTTCGCATCGAATTAATCATTTGTAATGGTGATGATAAAGCAAAGCAAGAATTTCCATTAACATACAAACGGGATAAAAGTTTCTCACATTTATGTCAGCATGAGAAAAAAACTGGCGATATTATTATACAACTTGGTAATATTTGAGGGGTAGTTTCATCTCGTTGGAATTTGACGAAAAATCCGCTTGCCAAAAATAAGCTTTTTACGTTAAGCAGTTTAAGCAGAATCGTGGTTAAGAAATTACCCAACATTTTGGAACACCCTGTTTGATTTTTTAAAAATTTTAAAATATGTAAAAAAAACAAATAAATTATGCTTGTCCAAGCGTTTTCCCGAAAGACTAACCGTTTTTTAAATAAAAAATATTGTAATATTTGACGGGCGTTTTCATCCTTTTTGAGATTCGAGAAACCCCTCGTTATCGAACCTCTACACCCCACAGTCAATCCGTTTGCCAAAAATCAGCTTAAATCAGCAGTTAAGCAGAATCGTGATTACTCAATGGTTATATCTTATGAAACACCCTGTATAAATTTATAAAAAATCTTAAAATATGTAAAACAACAAAATAAAATATACGTGTTTAAGAGTTTTTCCGAAAAACTCGCCGGTTTTTAAATAAAAAATATTTTAATATTTGAGGAATAGTTTCACCCCCTTAGAATTCGAGTTTCGAAAAATCCCTTCTTATCGAACCTCTACACCCTAAACTTAATCTGTTTTCCAAAAATCAGCTTTTTACGTCAAGCGCTTTAAGTAGAATCGTGATTAATCAATGACCAGATTTTTCGAAACACCCTGTATACATTTTTAAAAAATCTTAAAATATGTAAAAAAACAAAATAAAATATACGTCTTTAAGCGTTTTTTCGGAAACTTGACCGTTTTTTAAATAAAAAATATTTTAATATTTGAGGGGTGGTTTCACCCCCTTGGAACTGGAATTTCAAAAAATCCCTTCTTATCGAACCTCTACACCCTAGAATCAACCTGTATGCCAAAATTGAGCTTCTTACGTTGAGTGGTTTGAGCAGGATCGTGATTAATCAGTATGTCAGTCACTTAAGGATTTTATATTTAGTAGATTCATAAAATATGAATCTAATTAAAGGGTCAATCCTCTATTTTAGTATTTCATATACGTTAATTAATATCAATTCGAAAGCAAATCAAACAGCGCCTACCGTCACAAAATTTGCACCGCTTCGCTCTGCTAGGTCCTTCTGCACTCCCGATGCCGGAAGACAGAGCCGATGACGTAGTCCCAGCTGCTACCGATGACGTCGTTCCCGTGCTCACGGGCATCTCTCGACCTTAGGCCCGGTTCACAACGCACCATCACGTCGCCAAAGCTCCCTTCGCCACCTCGATTCACCACCGCAAAGTTCAACCACGTCCGCCACCATCACTGTTCACATACGAGATAAAGTCTGGTGGTACTGTAAATATGTAGTTCAATTCTGAAGCTTCGCGTGCATTTTCAATGATAAAAAAGCTTTCAACGATTTAGTTGAAGAAATTGATGGTCTAACTGGCTTTAAACACATCAAGATAATAGGTAGACGGTTTTGAGTAGGAGTAGATGTTTTAAACTGTCTTGGATGATAATAAATCATCAAAAAATCTCTTAAAAATGTAAAGAAGTCTCAAAAAAAGCGAAAACATACACTAAACAGCAAAAATTGGTCGTAATATAAGAATCAAAACTCCGATATATATGACGTCAATAAACAACCAAAACAGTTCTTTGGAAGATATTAGGACACTCCAATGCAGATTAAACGTTAAATAGAGGATATATAAACCTTAGAATAGATGAGGATACTACAAAAACACTAATTGGTCGTGAAATAAGGATCAAAACACTTCCGTATCCGGAACTATGATATAATAACCTAGTCTTTCACTTCTTTCGGTGATATTAAGACACTCCAGTGACGTTTCAACATTAAGCAGAGTATAAATAAACCTTAAACTAGATGAGGACACAACAAAAACACTAATTGGTCGTGAGACAAGGATCAAAACACTTCCCTAGGCGACGTTTGAGCGAATGGTGCAGTCCTGGACTCGAGAAACCACCAAAACGATGCCGATTCTTCTTGGAAAACTTGTCCAGGGACAATCTAAGACGGAAAAAATGGCTGGAAGTATAGTAAGGTCGCCGTGGTTCGGAATAAGGAATGTTCTCTGATGTGGAATACGCGTCCGAGCCGACGCTTTAACTTCGGGCGTCGCTGTTTAGGCGGACGGTTTACTGAGGCGTCGCGACGCGAGTCGTCGGCGTCCAGGTTGTGGAAAAGGCGAGCGTGCGCGAAAATCGCCGAGTTTGGACGAGGAGTGGACGTTGGGCAACGTTGCCGGAATCATTAAAATCGACGTGATCTTAACACGGAGAAGAGAATAATAGATTTTGATTTTATTATCAAAAATACCATATACATCTGGATTTTAAAAATCACTGATCAAATTCTTCTAGGTATACCGTCACTATATACGTGATTAATAATGAAAACACTTGGAAATTGTTAAAATCGATACATACAGGGTGTTTCGAAAAATATATGCCATCTCTCGTGGGGAGATAATATAGCTCCAATTCTGTTTTGTTTCCTAGCTACAGGGGGTTAAAGTCTTAATTCTTTTTCGATTTGTTATAATTTTCTTCCAAGAAAGATACTGTAAGTGGTAGATATTTTAGAGCTAAAAGAGTGTCGATAGATTCTCCAGTGACGTGCATATGGGTTATCAATGGAATATTTTTCTAAAAAAAAATTTTTTTTCACTTGTTATCAAGATTGTGTAGGCCGTTTAATGCCGACTAAAAGTTGTATTTGATATTTTGTCGATTTTGACCTCGTTGATAAAATAATAGTACTAAATAGTAATTGTTTTATTAAGAGTAAAAATTACACTTTTTGTGGCGAGGCTGTACGTTTGACATACAGGCCAGCCACAAAAAGTCATTTTTACTCCAAATAGAACATGCTATTTTTTTCCAACGCCACAAATATTTTTTAGGCAATGTCAAACGTTCCAAACAATATAAAAATATTTAAAAGTAATACCTTGTATGTAATTATACAGGGTGGTCCGAACTGTATTCCGGAAACTTTGGCAGCATATTCTGCAGATAAAAATAAAAGTAAAGTAAAGAAAAGATTTCAGTTAACGTCTCCCTTTTGCTGCCAGGGCTAATCTGGACAGAGCTACTTTGTTTACGCGGAATCCGAACCGCGGTCCTCGGCCATATCATGGTCTGTAGCCTACCGACTTAGGAAGTGTCTAAATTAATTCTTACTCACGAGATATCCGATCTCATCCGGCCTCGAACCGGCGTGAATGAGTGTGTATCAATAAATTTTACACTTTTCTCTTGGACAACAGCACGAAACAGAGTTTCGAACCGGTCACCCGGCCATCCACCAGTATCGCCTTACATCGCTTAACTTCGGTGTTCTAATGGGAACCGGTGTTTTAACGTAGCTAGGCCGTTGCACCAGATAAAAATAAATAAAAAAGTTCGTATAAATGTATGTCCTAAAATGCTCAGTTTCGGAGATACAGGGTGTAGAAGTTCCATTTTTATTTCGATTTTTTCCAAATAATTTCGGAAGTAATGCCAATAGTTGGATGAAAATTAGTGTCTGGGAGTTTTTTGACATGAGAAATTTGATTTTAATGTCAATATGACTCGTATTTGTATGGGGCGCCATACATGTATTTTATTTATTTATTTATTTATTTATTTATTCATTCATGCCAGTACAAAAATAGTTTACACACGTCAATATATAAAAACAATATACTAATATAAAATAGAAAAACTTAAATGTGAAAAATACAAAAAAGCACTAACATAAAATTGGAAAAGTTTAACAATGCAAAAATTCACAAGATACAAACCACAGATATTAAAATTCACAAAACATTTAGTCAAAATCTGTACGACAAGAACTCGTCAAAAGAGTAAAATGCGTTTTTAACAAGAATCTCCCTCAGTTGTCTGCAAAAAGAACTGTAGAACTGTATTTTAATTGTTAAAGAACATTAAAGATTTTAATTGTAAAAGAACTGTATTTTAATTGTTTTGAAGAGTAATAACTTTTCGTCCGTACCTGTATAAAACACTACTGATTGAAAAGATATTCATTTCCGTGATTTTCTACCTGATTTCTTTACGTCGCTACGAGCAACCGTTCTCAAAATATTTAGAATGGAAATAGTCAATACCATGTCATTATTGACAAAAAAATAAACATATTTGACCGAAATGATGAATTTGGGAACTTTTTATTGTTTTAAAATACCTAGTCATAAATTTTTCTTCGAAAAAATGACAATAAAACGGTTTCTGTTGAACTCTTTGCACAAAAACATTGGAAATTTATAATTTCGGTCTAATAACTATTTAGTCAACATGTTTAATTGATGTCAATGATGACAGGTATTCATAATTTCGATTCCAAATATCTCGAGAGCAACAAATATGTCCTTTTACCCCTTACCTTATTGATCCTAACCATTCTGGAACAAGCAAAATTTTTTTATGGAAAATGTATTTTTCTCATAATGTCAATAATAAAAAAGTTTTATATATACAGGGTTGTTCGCCACATACGACACGGAGTATTGTAGCTAAACGATGAGATTTTTACAAATTGTAAGTTTTGGGTTCGATGAAGGACTATTAGAAGTACAATTTAAAAATAATTTTACAAGATACAGAGTGTCCCAAATAAGTAAAAAATATCAAAGTTGTATTTTTTTAAATGGAACACCCTGTATATTATTACATTTTTAGTTTCTACGATTAAAATAAAAGATAAATTTGATTAAGGTTTATTATACTTAAACCTTTCCGCTTTTTGAATATTTCAATTTTGGCGAAATTGCAGTTAAAATTTTAAGGCTTCATTTCTCCAAGAGGGTATCAAAGTTTTTAATACTAAATATTTACTGAAGTTTATTTACTGATCAGTTATTGTGTTTAATAAAATAATACTACCTTATACAGAGTGTCTAAAAATTTGTTTTAAATAATTATTAGCTTCAAACAGCAATAACTTGTTTAATTTAAATGGAACATCCTGTATATTTTACGAGAATCAGATGCACAATTTAATTGTCTATCAAATTATATTATACCATTTTTTACCTATCTCTTTAAGTTTCCGTAGAAAATGCATTTTCTTGTAATTTAGAACTTATTTATCCATGGACTATTGACATTTTAGATTATTTTTAAAGATGTACCAAATTTTTAAAGAGTACAGATACTAATATTGTCGATATAATTCGTTTATTTCATTAAAAAATTAAAAAAAATTGTTTAAATATTTGTTAAAGAGGACCAATTAATATGATTCCAGTATTCAAACTACATTAAATGACTGCTTGCTTTGATTAATAATAATTGCTCCAAATACTAAAAAACTGAATTTTGTATGGGCATTAGACAGTGTGATAAAAAGTAACACCTTAAAAATGATATTTCATTTTTAATAAATGCTTATTTATAACAACAAGAGACTTTAATTTGATAACTTACTATTATATTGATTTCTGACTCAAATCCACATTTATTTATAATAATAATTATTAACGAACACAATTAAGTATGTAATTAATTAGTATATGAGCGGAAATAATGGTGTTGTATTTAATTAATGGTATACTCTTTTATAAAGATTTAAATAGTTTTCTTTTGCATATAAAATGGTTAGTAATATTATCGTTTTGCTAAAAACGATAATATTACTAGTCTGTACATTTTGTACATTTGTTACTTTAAAAACAATCTAAAATGTCAATATTCCATGGATATATTGATAAATGAGGTCTAAATTATAAGAAAATGCATTTTCTACGAAAACTTGAAGGATAGGTAAAAAATGGTATAATACAATTTGATAGACAATTTAATTGTGCATCTGATTCTCCTAAAATATACAGGGCATTCTATTTAAATTAAAGAAGTTGTTGCCGTTTGAAGTTAATAATTATTTAAAGTAAATTTTTAGACACTCTCTATAAAGTAGTATTATTTTTATTATTGCAACACAATAACTGATCAATAAATAAACTTCATTAAATATTTAGTATTAAAAACATTGATACCCTTGGAGAAATAAAGCTTTAAAATTTTTACTGCAATTTCACAAAATTGAAAATATTTCAAAAACGTAATGTTTAAGTATAATAAACCTTAATCAAATTTACCTTTATTTTAATCGTAGAAACTAAAAATGTAATAATATAGAGGGTGTTCCATTTAAAAAAATACAACTTTGATATTTTTTATTTATTTGGGACACTCTGTATCTTGTAAAAATATTTTTAAATTGTAGCTCTAATAGTCCTTCAACGAACCCCAAACTTACAATTTGTAAAAATCTCATCGTTTAGCTACAATACTCCGTGTCGTATGTGGTGAACAACCCTGTAAAGACAATCCGGGGAAATACTGTATATTTAATCTACTTAATTCGAGATATAACGTATATTTATACGTCTTTTTAAAGAATACTTTAAAAACTTTAATAAGCATAAGTCAAAATAAAGTTTGCGAACTTATACGAAATAATGACTTTTTATTTCGCTATTTCATATTTTTCTACTGCTTTAACGTGACCTTTACAAAATTGTTTGAAAACTCTCCTATAATGACTGTTGAGATAAACAACTTAAAGTTGTTTACCTGAAACTTCTCATCTTTGAAGACCACGACCCAGTTCCAAGGTTTATTCTATTGTTCGTCATCGTAATCAGACAACTTTAAAAATATTACATTAAGATCCACATTAATCATTTCAAAGGACCGTTCGCTTTTTCTTTGAAAAGATATACACAGTATAAGACACGGGTGGGCTACTTAACAACATATTAGTTATTAATACAAATCGTGAAAATTTCGTATAATTTTCATATGATTTCCAGTAAAAATAAATTTTTAATACAGGGTGTCACAGAAATAAGTGCAAGTATTTTAAGGGGTAGTAGATCTGGTCAAAAGAAACGTTTTTTCTCCTTACCGTTTTTCAAATAAGTCCAAAATAACAGAGTTATTTTATTAATTATTATTTCCTAAAATTTTGAGAACTTTTCTGGATTTTCTTTCATGTAAATTTAAGCTACTACCTATGTTGCCATATTATCAAGGAATTATGTTTTTTTACTTAAAACTAAAAAAAATCCAACGTTTTTTCCAAATTTTAAAATTTTATTAAAATTCTTTTCGCAAAAAATACCTCATAGGCGTGTTTCTGAGGCCGAAATATACTACCAGTTAAAATACTTGCACTTATTTCTGGGACACCCTGTATACAGGGTGGTCCGAACTGTATTCCGGAAACTTCAGCATCATATCCTGCAGATAATAATAAGTAAAAAAGTTTATATAAATGTATGTACTAAAACGCTTAGTTTCGGAGATACAGGGTGTTGAAGTTTCATTTTTATTTCGACTGTTTCCAAATAATTTTTTCAAACATCAATATTTGGATAAAAATTGGTGTCTAGGAGTTATAACTTTTCGTTCGTCCCTGTATAAAACAACTAATAAAAAAATACATATATATATATATATATATATATATATATTTACTATATACATACATATATACTACATAATAAAAAATATATACGTTTTTTACGTAAAAAAAGTCCCTTGGTAAAAATCGCTTCTAATGGTTCTCGAGATATTTGGAATCAAAATTATCAATACCTGTCATCATTGACATAAACTAAACATGTTGACTAAATAGTTATTAGACTGAAATCATAAATTTGAAAGGTTTTTGTACCAAAAGACCAACAGAAATTGTTTTATCATCATTTTTTCGAAGAAAAATTTATGACTAATTTAAAAAAATTAAATAATTTCAGTCAAATAACTATCCACTCAACATGTTTATTTTTGTCAATAATGACATGTATTGATTATTTCCATTCTAAATATCTTGAGAACGGTTGCTCGTAGCGATTTTTAGCAAGAGACATTTTTTAGGTAAAAAAATACGAAAATGTATATTTTTTCACTCGGTAGTTTTATACAGGTACGGAAGAAAGGTTATTACTCTTCAAAACAGTTAAAACACATATAGGTGGCGCCCCCTACAAATAAGAGTTATATTGATATCAAAATCAAATTTCTCATGTCAAAAAACTCCCAGGCACCAATTTTTATCCAAATATTGATGTTTGAAAAAAATATTTGGAAAGAGTCGAAATAAAAATGAAACTTCTACACCCTGTATTTCCGAAATTAAGCATTTTAGGACACATATTTATACGAACTTTTTTACTTGTTTTTCTCTACAGAATATGCTGCCGAAGTTTGCGGAATATAGTTCGGACCACCTTGTATAGTGTTATCGAAAATAACTACGTCAAAATAGGAATAGAAATAGTTATTTATGTATAACTAGTTGAAGCCTGGCGCATCCGCCACGACATCAGAAAAAAAATACTTTTTATTTTTTGTTTAATTAAATGAAAAACAAAAAATCCGGCTACGACAGTTTTTAGAAGAGTCAATTAGCTATCTTTTAGTAAAAAAAAGCAACTTCTAGAGTAAGTCGTGGCTTCAGTAGAGACGACACAGACAAACATTAACATTTTATATATATACAGAAAACATTCTTATAGCTATACGATTATTATCATTATCTTCCAACTAATTTAAACACATACTGCCCATTTCTGGTTCTGTAAAAGTCAAGTGTATTTTCTTTAATTCGGGTTTGCCTTAAAACAGAAACGGCGTAGCGTAAACACTTTTCAGTGCAACTTCCGATAAAGACTAAGATAGATACTTAAATCTCTTGGCCTCTTTAAACGTCTTATTCCAAACTCAGGTGAAATGTTTATGTAAATCGGCCTTAAATTTGTTATTTTTAACCATCACTTCTTTGTTAGTATTTATGCGTAGGTATACTGAGTGTACAACACTGAGAAATTACTTTTCGTCATTTTTGCTATTTGTTTTGAATGCCTTTTTATGTGTTTTAGCGCGAGAGAACTTACGACCGAGAAGGATGAAAGATTTTCGTCGAGTAGTAAGATCAATCTTCGAGTTGTCAAGGAGTTTTTAACAGGACACTGTTTCCTCAACAAACGCCTCACTAGATTGAAGAAATAACGGCGAATGCAGATTCTGTGGGGAAAATGGGGAAACACCAGAACACTTCATCACTAAGAGTGTCGAGACGACAACCATTCGTGCCATAAACATTGATAAGAATGATATCGAAGATGGAGAACTAGCCTCTGTAAAGCCGTCTCAGATACTGGCTTTTGTCAAAGCCCTGAGACTGTATGATGAGTTATAACTCGTTATAAATCAAGAAAGAAAACACAATAGATCTGTAAGATCGCAGTGATTTATCCCCAAATATTCTACATTCTTCATGTGTTTGAGTGAAATGAAGAGAACGGAGTTTGCCAAGGGCAAAGGCTCGCAAAGGCCAAGGGCAACATTTAATTTCTCAATTAGCAAATAATTGCAAATTCGTTGAATTCTTAAGCATGGTAATTATATTATAGTTGGGGGTTAAAAGCTTCGATGCAAAATAAAACTCTAATTCACAACAATATGCCAAAACCCTTTACTTAACACTGGACGCGTGATTCGCTAACCATATTAGCCAGCACTAAAGTTTAAAATAAAATATCGGTAAAAAAACTTTTAAGTTAAACGGTTTTATCTTATGAGCACTGAAAACTAGAAAATAATAATAACAATTAGGTATTTTGAACTTCTAGTTCAGAAATATTTTAGTACTAGGCAGAATAGCTTTTAGGCATATTAGACTAAAATAAAAACGTGGGGCCCCTCTGAAATCCTACCTATGGCAAAGCATATCTTTTTATCTATATACTTTGGTAGATCATGAGCTCGGCGTTCGCTGGTGAAGCCGCCACGGCTGGTTATTGATTGTCAAAATCTCCAGTTACGATTATAGTAAGTCGATGCTATCCACACTTAGTATAGAAGAAAGTATTACAGCAATAGTTAATGGGCCCCACGTTTTTATTTTAGTCTAATATGCCTAAAAGCTATTCTGCCTAGTACTAAAATATTTCTGAACTAGAAGTTCAAAATACCTAATTGTTATTATTATTTTCTAGTTTTCAGTGCACATAAGATAAAACCGTTTAACTTAAAAAGTTTTTTTACCGATTTTTTATTTTCTAGTTTTTAGTATTTAACGGAAATACCTACCGAATATTCCTCATTCTATTTAATTCATTATTATATAAATTAATATATATATATATATATATATATATATATATATATATATATATATATATATATATATATATATATATATATATATATATATATATATATATATATATATATATATATATATATATATATATATATATATATATATATATATATATATATATATATATATATATATATATATATATATATATATATATATATATATATATATATATATATATATATATATATATATATATATATATATATATATATATATATACATTCTTCATACATTCTTATATATATATATATATATATATATATATATATATATATATATATATATATATATATATATATATATATATATATATATATATATATATAACAATTAATTATAACAATAAAATATAAATTATAATAATTAATTATATTTAAAATACCTATTTGTTAATATTTTATTATTTATATTTATTTTAACATTGATATTATTATAGAGAATAAAAAAACGCAATTTAACGTTAATTTTTTACACAACTGTTCTGGACACGACTACTCATGCCCTCACCTAATACGCCATTTTGTAACGACGTCCATCTTGGATTTTAAATTTTGTCATAATCACAGTATTCTACTAGTGTAGCCCTTTCATTTGATACCCATATTGAGGGGGTTGTGGAAAAATATGAAATCCGCCATTTTGTACCGGCGGCCATCTTAGATTTACAATGTTATTGATATTACTATATTGTATTGTCATCGGAACTAAAGGTGTGTACAAAATTTCAGATCAATCTGACAACAGGAAGGTACTTAAATTTCAATTTCTAATTTTGACCCAAATAAATAAATACCGTAAGGGTCGAGCTAAATAAAACCGTTTAAAAAACTAAAAGGAGCTAAGTTACGAGGGTGGTCTGAAAAGTTTCCGACCTAACAAAGATACAAGACATTTTTTCTGAATATTTTATTTTATTTTTCAACATAGTCCCCTTGTAACTCTACACACTTTTCCCAGCGATGCTCCCATCTCTGTAACCCGTCCAAATAGTACTCGGCGTTTTTCTCTGCAAAAGAGTGGTGGCCTCTTCATTTGACGAAAATCTCTGTCCTCCGAGCGCAATTTTTAAATGAGGGAACAAAAAGAAGTCGCTAGGGGCTAGATCTGGTGAGTAAGGCGGATGGTCAAGCAGTTCAAACCGTAACTCGTGGATTTTCACCATGGCAACCGCTGAGGTGTGAGACGGTGCGTTATCTTGGTGAAACAGGATTTTCTTTTTCTGTAAATGAGGCCGTTTTTCCGTAAAAATGGCCGGAAATGTTCATACCAACACGCTTTTGGTCTAACGTGAGCAAACGCGGCACCCAACGCGCGGACAGCTTTCTCATGCCTAATATGTGACAAACACGTTCTTTTGATATGTTCATAATCTCTGTTATCTCTCTCACTTTAATTCGGCGGTCGTCTAGCACCATTTGGTGAACTTTGGCGATGTTATCGTCCGTAGTTGCAGTTTTTGGACGTCCCGAACGTTCATCGTCTCCCAAGCTCTTACGGTCACGTTTAAATTCAGCTGCCCAAAATTTCACTGTGGTAAATGATGGTGCAGAGTCCCCATACATAGAATCCAACTCATGTTTAATTTGTGTAGGCGTATTGCCTTTCAAAACCAGATATTTAATGACAGCTCGATACCCGATTTTGTCCATTTTCACAAAAACACTGATCAACTCACTCAAACGAGTGTTGCATAACAACTGCGCATCCAAAATGGCTGAAACTTTGGTGAATAACTGTCAACAGATGAACAATGAAAATTCACTAGCTTTTATCTACGAGTGCTGCCATCTTCACGTTGAGGTCGGAAACTTTTCAGACCATCCTCGTAAATAACAAATAATAATAATTTAATAAAAATGTAATCAAATGCACAGTGTTTTGGTGTATTGAAGCGAATTAGTGTTTTATATTGCTGATAATAACTATATCTAAAGTGACCAGATTTTAAGTCAACCTATGACAGAGGCAGGATGGCAAAAAATACCGGACACATTTTTCAAGAACAGTACTGACGCATAATGTCATTTTATAAAAAAAATAAAAAAAAAAGTCTGAAGTGAAGATGAGTAGGTTCGGATGGATGAAAACGAATCCACGGACCTCTCTCCAGTGCCGGTACTGATGGATGTAAATCTTACTGAACATCGACCCCTATCCAAACTGATTTTTTCAACTAAAAGCTAAAAAAAAATTTTTGCTTTTAAAACCAAAAGCTTTCTCAAAAAAATCCGAATTTTCATTTTTTTTTTCGCGAAAAAGACCTCAAAATCATGTTTCAGGAGTCGAATTATACTACTCCTAAAATATTTACACTTATTTAAGACTCACCCTGTATAGCAATTTTTTAATTAAAAAACAAAACTGAAAATTTTACAAATATAATGGGCACCATAAATATTCGTTCTGTCAAGAAACTCACATATATTTTTCGGAAGAATGAACCCTTATTTTAAATTATTAGATTATCTCTTAATTTTTTAACTAAAGATTCGCCGCGCCGCGCCGGACCCAGTCATACTGCATTTTGTAATTACTATACATTTTAAACAAGATAGAGATAATCGTAAATATCATTTCTGTACTTGTCTACAACATATTGACCACTGTAAATACCCTTTCTGAACATTAGTCTCCAAAAGACAAACCAAAATTCAATCATTTTTTTGTGTAAAGTAGGAAAACCTTCCAAAGAAAAAAGCTGCAAAAACCTCCCCCAATTTATATCTAAATATTTCAATATCATTTTGCTACTACTCATTAATCTTTTCTAAGGTAACCTAATTTTAAATTAACTGAATTCAGTTGACAGACAATGTTGAATAAAGGACCTTTTGACGGACAAACTCTGGAGACGGACATCGCGTTTGTATAACTGTACTTATCTTACACCCTGTATCTAGTCACTTTAACTATATCCTGTTGTGGTATAAACTGATATCTGAAGAAGACATTTGAATGAAAATTTTGTTGTCAGTTTAATATTTAAATATCAACTTTTTACAAATTTAACTTGTATTTCATAACCTTTAAAAGAAATGTTATTTTAAAGGAACGAAATATATTTAGTAACATTTATATATCAGAATTTTAAAAAATGGCTTTTTGTTTTTATACTGGCTGGAAAAGTGACAAAACAAACAAGAAAGTCTCATCTGAGAACTTCCTCTGTTTTATTAATTTTGAAATTCCGACCATGTTATGATTTCTAATCTAAAATTAAAATATGAATACAATCGAAATATCCGAATTCACATATTCCTTCCATAGGATTTGGATTACAATGGTTTTAATACCGGGTGTTGCATCGTCGAGCGGGGCATAGGAAATCCCATGTAAATTTTGAATGAGGTCAATTATTGGCTTCCCTAATTATTTTAGAGAATAATTCTATTTAGGTTTATTGAAGAGCACTAAAACCCACATTCAAAAGAATAACCTTAGATATTTTTGATTAGCCCGTTTACGAGTTATCGCCGATTTCTTTTTAAATATTTCTCCTTTCTTATGGCCCTGTATTTACTTATGAGCACCAGTCAAGGTAAAAGATAACTGTCAAATAAAGTTGTCATTTCAGAAATTTATCTATTTAGTGCTTTATTATTATTATTAAAAACTCATACCTACATCGAAAATATTAGCCATGAATTACACTACCGAAGAAAAAGTATTGATGGTTAAATGGTATTATCAAGGAAATAGTTATCAAAAGGTATCGGACATGTTTGCTGCTCTGTATCCGAATAGACCGATACCTGGAAAATCTACAATCGCAAAGAATATCCAGAGATTTGAGACCAAAGGTACCCTAACAAATAACTACAGATGTGAAGGAACAAAGAGAAGATGCAAGAAATGATACCGACTTGGAAGTTTTATTATGCGTGGAAGTGAACGATGGAAAGATCAGCACAAGGAAACTTGAGTATGAAATAGGAATAGATCACACTACAGCGTTTCGAATTTTGAAACGCTGTAGTGTGATCTATTTATTATTAAAAAAAGCATCAAGAGCTACGAGATGGGGACGAAATACCGCGGCAGGCGTTTTTTTTTGATATGATGGAAAGAGCAAACACGGATAGGGAATTTTTAAAAAACATATGTTTCACTGACGAATGCACGTTTACCTTAAATACTGAACCCAATGTTCAAAATTATCGATATTGGAACAAAGAAAACCAACACAGGTTTGTCGAAACAACGACGCAATATCCACAGAAAGTAAATGTTTGGGCAGGGATATTCAGACACAATAATATCGGGCCATTATTTCTGAGAATATTATTTGTAACTACTCGAAAATCATATTTTACCTGCTTTACATGATGCCGCTAGCGAAAATGAGGAAGTTTGGTACCAAATGGATGGCTGCCCGGCACATAGTACCCTGGCTGTTCGGGAATATTTAGACAATAGTTTTAACGGCAACGTTATTGTGCCGTATACAGTAAATTGGCCAGCAAGGTCTCCTGATATTTCGCCAAATGATTTCTTTCTCTGGGGCCATTTAAAAAACAGGATATACAAGGATAAAAAAATACCCAAATCTAGAGTTAAAAAATGCTATTTCTGCCGAATGCAATAGAATATCAGTTTACCAACTAGCGAATATAAGAAGAGAATTTTATGATCGCCTGGTTTATTGTCTAGTAGTCGATGGAGGAATATTTGAACATCTTCTTAAATCCTAAAGTTCTAACAATTTAATAGTACCTAAATTGATAAGTTATTGAATATTGTAATAATACTATAATTAACCTTGTAATTGATTACTTTATTTTACTTTAAATCATATTAATTTGTATTTATAAATACATCTTTAAGATTTCCGATGTAGGAATGAGTTTTCAATAATAATAAAGCACTAAATAGGTAAATTTCTGAAATTACAACTTCATTTGACAGTTATCTTTTACCTTGACTGGTGCTCATAAGTAAATACAGGGCCATAAAAAAGGAGAAATATTTAAAAAGAAATCGGCGATAACTCGTCAAAAATATGTAAAGTTATTCTTTTGAATGTGGGTCAATAAACCTAAATAGAATTATTCTCTAAAATAATTAGGGAAGCCAATAATTTACCCATTAAAATTTACATGGGATTTCCTATGTCCCGTCCGACGATGCAACACCCGGTATATCTTACTTTTGTTCGATTATTAATAGTGATAAAAATAATGTAACAAAAATGTATATACAGGGTGAATCTGATGATTGAATAATAAGTGAAAATAAGTGCAAATGTTTTCAGGGTTGGTATAGAACTCGATAAAAGAAATATAATTTTTCTTTGCCGTTTTTCAAATAAGCCATTATCTCAGACAGTTTTACAGAGCAATGGCACAACTTGTTGTCTCGGCGTAGTCAGTGATGAGGTGTTCTGGTGTTTCCCCATTTTCCCCACAGAATCTGCATTCTCCGTTGTTTTTTACCTTCAATATACAGAGGTGTCAATGAGGAGACAGTGTCCTGCTAAAAACCCCGTGACAATCCGAAGAATTTTCTTAATTCAAGGAAAATCTTTGATTTTTCTCGATCGTAAGTCCTGAGAAGTTTCGTCAAATTTTCTAGACTGTTGGAGGATGCCAATCCAGGTCACGGATGGAGTCTTCCAGGTTCTTGAGTTCTGCTTTAGATTGGTTTCCACTTGGGAAGCAGAACAGTTCTGATACAGTTAAATGAGTGTTCGCTCCTTTTCTTCTATCTAGATCGTTTGCTTTTTCATTACCTTCTATCCCTTGATAGGCTAACGCCCAGAGTAGGAGTAATTTCGGCTTACCAAGCCAAAACAAGCAACATTTTTTGAATAAATGGCCAAAAGCTTTTAAAAAATTCAGTTCGTATTTAAAAAGTAAAGTTGATAATAATATCTCACAAACGAAATGATGAATCTGAAATTTAATTGCATCAACTGTAAAAAAGAAGAATTAAAAATTATTAAGGCATTTATTGAAAACATATCTTCAAATAAATCCAAGAAAAAATAAAAATGACTTGAAATTATACCCCAGCGGTCACTCCTGCATCTGGGACACCCTGTAAAAGTTCCCTCGCAAAATTTTACTGAAGAATAAAATATGGACAATGACATTATATCCACCCATGGAAAAAATGTAACAAAGTTTAAACCAAAATAAAACAAAAGTAAAATAAAAATAATATAAAGCTTACTACGCACAGCCATAGCCAGCGTGTCGTTAAATCCTGTTATCCGTCGTCCGATTCATTTTGACATATTTAATTATTTCGAAAACGAGAATTATCTCAACGTTTTGTTTTTCTTACTAATATGAATTTGGTCTAGTGCCAACTGGAAGTAGCGGCCTATTTTTAAGCGAGTCGTCCCATAAAATAATTTACTTAAGCGGCGTTCAGACGGGTCAACAAAAACAGTGGCGTTTCGGGCTTCGATCTGAATCACGAACTAGCTTCAGAAGATTCAGAAGAATACAGTACCTAACCATTTAGGCATAATTCAATATAAGTTCCTTGTTGGACATAGTCCTGGGCCCGAATTCTGTAACTTAGAAAACGCTAAGCGCTTTTAGACGCTCAGTATATGGCGTTAACTTTCGCTCAGAGCACACTTAAGTACCGATTTGGGTATTCTCATCTGACGCGCTTAGCGTCTTTACCTATTGCGCTAAGC